GTCCTCGTGGCACCTTGGGAGGTTGAAGAGTCCTAGAGAAGGTTCTCATCTGCTTTGTGCCAACTGAGAATTTGTGGTTTCATCCCTCAATCCCAGCCCACGAGAGGAGAAGTCTCTCTGTTCAGGAGACACTTCCACCACGGTGCTCAGCTTGGGATCAGCTCGTCTGCCCTCCCCATGGTGGCCAACAGGAGATGATGAAGAAGGTTAATTACTTTCCTGACAGCAAGTACATGCTGTCCAGCACGGGGTGCTTATGGCTTTGAGGACAATTTCCAAAGAGAAAAAAGCAAAAGCAGAAGCAGCAGCTCCCCCAGACAGCAGATGCTCTCATGTTGCTGCCCTTGGTATGTTCCTTATTTTAAGTGAAACTTTCTTGTGTCCTGGGAGCAGCTGATGCTCAGAGACTTCTGGAGTCCTCAGGAGTTTTTTCCCTGTGTGTTCGTGCACAAATTACAGCAATTGAACCAAAGCACTTGTGAAACCACTGGTTTTTCCCCTGACTGACTGGCTGGGAGGCAGAAATGGGATTTTTATGTAGTGTTGGCTGTGTTATGATGTCTGGATTGGTCATGGAGTTCACAGCAGGTTTGTTTCTGGCCTAATGGTGATTCTCTGCTCTTCAAGAGCAGGGAACTGCAGGTCTGATAATTCTCTGTATTTACACCAACTTTGTTTTCCTCTAGGGTTTACTATTTAAACTTTTTTTTTTTTTCCTAACCCAAGAAGTACTTTAACCACATGCAGCCTGCAGCAGACAGAAAGCTCTGTGGCACCTGGTGGAGATGCAGATTTTGGGCTGGTGGGAAGCTCATCCTTGTGTCAGCACAGCCAAGGTCAGGTGAATGACTCAGGCTCCCAGGCATCAGGGCTGCTGATCAGGCAGCGGGTTGTGCTCTCAGGGGGAAGATACCCAGCAAGGAAACCATTTGCTTCTGTGGGATAACAAAACCAGAAAACCACCTCCTTTGATCTAGGCGATGGTTTTGTGCTGTTACTGTAACACCCAGACCGACACTGAGATTGGCAGGAACTACCTCAGCACTAAGTGATGGGGGATAAGGGACACGCAGCTGCCCCATGCAGCAGCTTTTGGGGCTGCAGGGGAAGCAGAAGGTTGAACACAGAAGGGGATTGAAGGGGAGCACTGTCCTATTTTGGTTTGCAAGAGGATGCTGTCCCTGCTCGTGGCGGGGGCAGCTTGGAATTTGGGTGATCTTTGCTGTGATCTATAAGGTCCCTTCCAAACCACTCAGTGACTCTGTGCCTGGGGTCTCATCCTGCAGCTGGTGGGATCCAGCACAGCAGAGGCAGGGCTGAACCCCATCCCAGGGTTCAGCTGCAGCTCAGTTAGGCTCATCTCACCCACTGCTGCTTCAGTCTGTGATGGCATCGTGCTGCTGCATTCAAAGACTGTTTTTTTCTGGTTCCCCCCCCAACCACTGATATTTTTGGCATGTGTGAGTTCATGTTGGGACCCAAAGGGTCTGCCTGCTCCCTACATAGGTGTTGGGTCAGGATGCAGCCTGGAGAGGCACTGGGTGATGCTGGTGCAGGAATTCTGGCTGGAGGGAGGTGCCAGGAGTCACCTGGATGACTTGTGACAGCGCCCTGACTCTCCCAGTTCAGGGAAAAGAATACCCAGAGGGTTTACTTAAGCAGTGCATCCTGGCAGGGATGGGCTGTTGTGGACAGGGCTGGTCCAGCAATGGGAAAATGTTGCTTGAGGACATGGTCAGAAATGATTCATGGGGATTCCTCCTCCATTGGAAGTGTCACTTCTCCAGGGGAGATGCTGCCTTTGGTTTCCCAGATGGCTTCTGCTGGGATTTCCTAAATCTTCTCGGACATGATACATGTGTTTAGTCAGAGATGAGATATGTTTACATGCTTTTGCCCACCAGATCTGTGTCATGACACAAACATCCCCGTGTTTTGGTGACAAATGGCACAGACATCTTTGCATGTGGCTTGCATGGAATCTAGCAGGGAATGTCCCCCTGGCTCGGATCTGTGGCCAGGGCTGGGAGCCCTCTCTGTAGTCCTTCCAGCTCCCCAGCTCTGCTTCAGAGGGGCTCAGCTGCCTCTCCCCACCTCCTCTCCCCCGCTGATCCCCCACGAGCAGGCAGCCATCCCACCCGGAATGCCGACTTGCTCCGTCTCCTCTTTCTTCTGAATCAAACAACTCCTGTAGCATCAGGTCTCTGGAAACCTTTGTTCTCTGTACAGCACGAGGATTCCATCTGCTTCCTTCCTGTGGTTATTTAACCAGAGTGACTGAGCTTTACTGAGAAACTCTCCACAGCTGAGCTGACGTTGCCCTTTCCACGTGCGAGGCAGAGCCCAGGCACCAGTTTCGCTCACGAGGCTCCTTGAGCTCCTGCTTTGAGCTGGTGACAACTCTGAGAGCTGCTTCCTGCCTCCCTGTGGAAGAAAAGTTATACAAAAGCGATGAAAATAGGTGCAGAGGGGCTGGGGGAGCGTGAGGAGCAGACCTGCCTGGAGGGAAGCTTCAAGCAGTGCTCGTAAGCGCAGGTTTTGCTGAGAACACGAATCCCCTGCTGGGGCAAAGTCAGTGATTCCACTGACCCACATCAGGCTGGAGTCTGGGCAGAAACAGACTTAGAAATCGTGGTATTAAGTAAAAAAAATTTGCTTCGAATCCAGTGAAGAAGGAAACTCTACTGTCACAAACACCTGGAGTCTGCTGGACCTGCGAGTAAAGGGCTGAGAGGGGTGAAAATGAAAGAGGCTCGAAAGTGAAACAGGAATGTGACCCGGTGGGTACCTGCCAGCAGCCACCAGAGCTGGGCTGCACTTTGGAGATGGTTATACTGCTTGAATTCTGGGTTTATTAACAACAGAGCTGTGAATTCCCACGTGCATGCCCACTTGGGTTTTGTTCAGGGTGTGCTGAGGGATCCACCTGCATAGATACATAACCTCCAGCCTGGGAAAAACAAGCAGTTCTGTTGTTGATTTATGTTAGTCTGGTTTTTAGCTGGTGTCTACTATCAGATCTAGGATCAAGGTCTCATCCTGACTGAGAACAGACGTGAATTTGAAAACATCCCAGCAGGTAAACAGAGGCAGCAGTGCTCTCTCCTGCAAACCAGGGGTGATTATCAATGACATTTGGGCACATAACCAGTTATTTAACTGTAAATGCTGCTCTAAAAAGGGCAGTGCCTGAAACAGTTGCTAATTAGAGGCTGAAGAGGCTGGAGCGACCCATGGAGTACCTTGGGGCTGGTGTTTCTCTGCTGTAGGAGATCACTGCCAGGTATTTTGTCAGAAATTTGCTTTTAAATGTGAGGACCTCAGGTCTCCTCACCTCCCTGGCCATTAATGCATTCAGCTCCTCCTGGGTGGTCCTTCCCACCTGGATCTGTGCCCGCTGGGCTCTTTCCCAGCACGGTGACACTGGGCACAGGATCTATGCTCTGCTGCTGATTTACAGCCCTGTTAACAGCTTGCAAGAACACAACAGAGGCTTGGCTCATTAGGAGGTCTTTATTAGCAAAAATAAAAGATTTCTTTTCATACAGATAAATAGGCAAGAGTTCACACAGTGACAGAAGCCCCCCCAGGAGTGGAGCTGATGTTGCTCTTGGCTCTCACCACGGCTCCAGGGCTGTCCTTGCTTCTCCTCCAGCGTGGAAGTCGAGGTGTTGGGTGGAAAAAACAAGCGCAGAGTTGGCTCAACGGGAGCTCAGCGTGTCCTGGTAAGAAGCTTAATTGCAGTTTTAGAGTGTTTGGCCCCCACGCTGCCCTTGAGCCCGTGCCCACCCCGCTGCTTTCAGCAGGAGGAGTGGATCCAGGGAGCAGCATTCCAGCCCTAACTCTGGGATAACCGGTTCCCAGGCGGGCAGGCTGCCAGCAGGAATGCCCTTCTGTCACCATCAATGTACACAAAGAATAAATCCACTATAAATAGCCTCTCTTCAGCGGGGACTTACAAAGCAAACAGCAGACTGGCAGTGTTTCGCCGTATTGGGGCCCTTTTACTTCTAAATATTAGAAGTAAATGCCTCTGGGCTGTGGCATTTCCCTCTCCCCCACAGGAGACTGGGCTGAGGAGGAAGGTAAGCCCTAAAATCAGCCACTTTTGGGGGTGCTCTCCCTGCAGCCTCCCCCCTGCAGCACGTGGGGATTAGAAACCAAACCCCAGTATTGTCAGTGCTGGAAGCAGCTTCATGGATTTGAATGCAAATTACACAAGCCACCTTAAAATGGTGGTTAATTAAATATCCTCTAACTTATAAAAGAAAATAGACAATAAAACAGTGAGTAAAACCCAATCAAAGACTGGAAAATAGTAAGATTAACTTCTGAAAGTGCAGAGTGGCCAACCCAGCAGCTCTGGAGGGCAGATATTTGGCAGTATTTAAGCCAAGTTCTATTAGAACCAAACATTTAATTCCTACTACTATTTGTTTTTTTCCTTTAATCTGGACTAATCTATATGTTGAAGTCTAGAGATAGATTAACTGAGCTGTTGCTGTGTTTGTGGGAGTACAGGTCCTCCTCTTCATAAACATAAAAACATCTGATTGGATAAATAAATAGAGAAATAGAACATAAGGAGAGTGTAATTTGCATAAAATTAAATTTTGTTCATCTCAGAGCTGGAATTCCTTCTGATCAGGAGCGGAATTTCACTCGTTATAAACTCTGTTCATTGTCTGCTCTCCAGAAAAATGCTGCTTTGGGTGTTTGGAAGCTATGAATAAAGTAGCACTATGATAAACAGTATTAAAATATGGAACAATAAATAGTATTTTCCAAGCTCATGCTCTTCTTCAAAACATATTGTAAACATTAACACTGAGGTATTAAAAGTAATAAATATTGAATTCTAAAAAAATAACTTTTAAATACAATAGTGAACTGGAAGTTATTGACCCATAACTGAACCCTGAGATAATCTGTGCTCCTGCAGCCTGATTTCTGAACAAATAGCACGATTTGGTGTGGAAAAGGCAGAGCCAGGGGTGTCCTCAGTTCCTTCTCTTCATTGTCAAGTATTTTTCGATGTAGTTGATGAAAATGTCAAACTCTCCCATGGCCTTGTAGATCCCGTTCTGGTTCATCTGCAGGTGAAAGCCGAGCGTGTTTAGTGGGACTGTGACGATATTTGGGATGTACAATCACTGTACAACTTCTCCTCCCTCCTCCTCCTCCTGCTTCTCTGCCCAACTTCCCGGGGGAACCCACCAGCTCCTCCTTCGAGCACCACCCTCTGGATTCCTCTGCCTTAGGTATTTATGCATTAAAGACATTTTTGGGTCCTCCCTCCTAAGCTGAAGCCATCAGTAAGATCTCTGTCTTGCTGGAACAGCAAGTTCCTCCCCCTTGGTGCAGCCATGTGAGCAGGACCTCACCTTGTTGAACGTGTCCTTTATGTGCTTCATGCTTTTGCTCCTCTCCTCGCACGTGAAGAATCTGTGCTGCAGAAGGGATAAAAACAACGGCTTCAGCCCCAGGGGTTTCCTGCCCGGGGTGTGGTTCTGGCTCTCCCGTCCTCCTGCCCCCCCTCAGTGCCGTTCCCCACCTTCCCCTTCCCCCTCTGTGGCCACGGAGCTCTCTGGGGCAGCAATTAGAGCTTTTTAGCGCCGTGCCCTGCTGAAAGTGTGACCCGAGCCTGGACCCCCAGCCCGTTCCCAGCCCTTGCTGCCAGCCCCAGGTGAGGAGCTCTCTGCCCAGGGCAGGATTCATCCCGTCTGACTCCGGAGATGGACTCGTGGCTGCGCCAGGTGGGAGTTTGGGAGGGATCATCGCAGAGCCACGCGGCTCCAGCACCCAGGTAAAGGACAGACCCTCCCCTTGTCTCTTCAGCCAAACTCTTGTGCAGGACTGGCTGCAAGGGGTGCTGCTGGGCATCATCATTGACTAATGCAAGCCTGGTGAGCAGGAACCCCATCCTCGTGTGCCCTGCCAGCTCCTGCCTGCCTGGATCCCTGCTCCTCCACCCTTACACCATCCCACCACCCTGCCCCTGGGGACCCTCTGCCCACCCTCCTGCTGCTCTGGGACTGTCCCCGTGACGCTGAGCCCCACTCACACAGCGCCTCATCATCGTCCTCAGGCTCAGCAGCAGGTTGCCCAGGTCGCCCACGCTCTGCTGGTGGTGCGTGCTGGTCCTCATGGCGCTGGGCAGCACCTCCTCCATGTAGAACCCCATCATCTCCGACACCGACTGGCAGCCCAAGCTCCCCTGGGGCGAGAGGAGGGAAGCAGGTTGGGGGGGGGATGGCCAGCGGCGCCGACGGGTGAGGGTGTTATTTTAAATCAAAGTCGCCCTGGCGGTCGGAGCGCTCGCAGCGCGGGGGAGCCGCGGCAGCCCCGCCGCGGGCACACGTGGCACTGCGGGGCTGCCGAGCTGTCCTGGAGCGACTTTAGGAAGTGCCCCAATTTCCAGGCTGCTTCCTCTCTTATGAAACACCCGCCGAAGGATGGAGGAGGAGAAGGGACTCAGACGGGAGAGCTGTGATTCTTACCTTGAGTTCATCCAGCAGGTCGGAGCTGAGCAGCTGGATGCTGAGGTCGTCATCTTTTGATTGCTGTGGGAGGATGCAATGGAAATGTGAGCCTTTTTAGGCAGGTAATCAACACTCTTTTCACTCTGTCTAATCAACTGATCCTTTTCTTGTTTGCATTTGTGCTCTCCCTGCAGCACACGTGTGTGCAGAGCACAGTGACAACAGGAACAGGAGTCACCAGTTATTTGGTCCATAATCTTGCAGCACAAGGACTGCTGGTTCAGGGCAGGAAGACAGTGAAATCACAATCTTTAGTGATATTGATTTTGTCAATGTGAAACTCCTCTCTCTGCCACCAGTGCCACGCACTCACTTCGGCTGCTCGGGGTGTTGTCTGAGAGTGCTGCTGGAGACTGCAACGCTCTCCAGGGAGGTGTCAAAGCAATGGCAGCCCCTGGAAGCCACTCCAGCCTGTCTGCCAGGTCAAGAGGGTTTAATCCCCCAGGTTTTGTTACCTCTGTAAGTCTCCAGTTGATGGGGAAAAAGGGAGTTCTTGTGGTGCCTCTGTTGCACCAGGAGCTCTGAAAGACCAAAGAGCTGCAGTGGGGTGGGCTTGCACCACACAAAGAATGACCCCATGGCACCAAGGGATTCAAAAGCTGTCCTGAGAGGTTAAAAATACTCCTTCCAAATGTTATCTGGGAGATTTACAGCAAGATTTAGATCTGCAGTCTTGGCTGCACTCAGTTGCTAATAAATACAAGCCATGACATTAGTTTGAGATTTCATCTGGAGAATTACCTTGTTTTATTGCTAAAACACACTGACATCAACCAAAACAGTAACAAAGATGTGACCAACCATCTCTGTCAGTACCGATGCCATGACAGATGCTCTGAGTGCATCTTGTGCTGTTTTCTCAGCAGAGCAGTGACCTTGCACAGACACCAAAGCAGGTGTCCAGTTACTGTGGAGTTTCTCCAGCCATAAGTGCACACTTTTGTGGTCCTTTCAAAGCAAAAGCCTGCAGCAAAAGATTTCCCTTTTCACCCAGCATCGGGGCGAGGCTGGACCTCACTGCCCTGAAGGAAGGACAATTTCCTTCCTGTGTAATCCAGTGATTAATTTGGTGGGATTTAATTTAGCGGGAAGTCTGGCTGCTGAGGTTCACAAAGCTTCGTTATGAAATCTCGAGTTCACTGTAACTAAAACTAGGAAGAAAACCCTCGTGTGCTGTCTCTCAGCGAGCAATGAAACCGAACTTCTCTTGCTCACCCGTAACGTAACTGCACTCAATCATTTCTGCAGAGAGGAAGCTCTTCCCCTCCAAATCACTGAACTTTGCAAAAACAGAGAGGCGAAGAAACGAGCGGGGTGATACTTACAAAATAGTCCTTGATTTCCTCAAACTTGACTCTCAGCTCTCTGAGCTTTGCAGGCAGGAGCTGGGGGAAGTGCAGGCAGGAGGGCTGGCAGCGGGCGCCGGCAGTCAGGAGCAGCAGGAGCAGGATGGGCATGGCTTTGCAGCTGGAGCAGGTTCTCATGCTGTGGGAAAGGGGCTGCTTCCCTCTTGGTCCAGCTCTCGGGTGGATTTCACAGGAGGGTATAAAGCCAGATCTGCAGCTTTCACCTTGATGGAGCCCCTCATTTATACTCTCAAAAAATGGCTCCATTTCCTCTCCCCCGTTTCCTGACGAGCAATATTGGGGTTTTAAGTCATTCATTAAACCCAAATGTCACTTGGGTTTCCCGTCAACTTGGGTTTCCTGTTCTCTTGACCTCCCTCCTCTCCTCACACCCCATCAATTCTTTTGTGCTTAGACTCTGCAATTTTTTTTTTTTCATTACTTGTTTCTTGTAAATTTAAATGTAGCTGAAGAGGAAAGTTGCAGACACATGAAGAAGCCAAGGTGCTGTGTGAGGTTAATTCTTTATTCTCACAGTCACTTTTTATATTTAGATGAATGTCCTATCCTTGGAATGAAAAAAAGTGTTGCTACTTTTACATCTTTGTATGAAACCTGCAGCATTGCATCATTCAGCAGCTTTGCTTTTTGTGAACCTGTAGAAACACACTGTCTCCTTTTTTGGCATTTGAAAGTTAATCTGCAAATACACATAATCATCTGAAATCTCCATTTTTAATTAGATTATTTTTTTTTTCAGTTAATGCATGTGTCTGCTGAAGCCCATGTGAATTTTCAAGCTCAAAGGCTGCGCTCCCAAATTTTAGCTGGTGAAGTGTCTGGATGCTGGCGGGATCAGTTCCATGATGGGTGGGGATGCTGTGGAAGAGCTCAGCCATGGATGTGGCTGCTCCAGTCCCTCTGGGCTCCCCCAGAACAGAGTTTGTGCCCCTGTTTTAACATTGGTTTATGGGGTTAAAATGCACAAGCAGGTAATGAATATCCATATTTCAGGCTCTTAAATCCCATTTCGTTTCCTAGAAATGGACAGAAGCCCCATCCAAGCAATCCCGTGCTGGCTCTAAAGACTCTGTGTCCTGTCTTAACTGGGACTTATTGTCCCAGCTCTGATAAAGTTGCCTCTTCAGAGCTGGAGATAATTCCTCTGACGTCTCCTCGTTTTCCGCTTCCCTCTCTTTTCTGGTCTCTTTCCATATAAATCAGTCCACAACCCCCCCCCCCCCCAACTTCCTTGTGATAAAGATTTCACTTATTAATTCGGGAATCTGGTATCCAAGAAAGTGAAAGGGGAAATAAATTTAGCTTTCTTAAAATCAGAGGGTTTTATTTAAAATCTCTCATGCTATTTCGAAATAGTTCGTTCTTCCCAGCCTGCCTCCAGCAGGGGACAAATCCCTTAAATTCTCATCTCCTCCATCACACTGAGATTCCTTCAGGTTGAGTTTCCAGACCTCTGTTTGTCGCAAGAAAAATGCTGGAAAAATGCAAAGCATTGTTTGTTCTTGTACACTGAGATTTATTTGTTTATTTTTACAAGTAAGAGAGAGGAATGTTTGGTGTGCGTATGTGTGAGTCAGGGGAAAGGGGATGAAACACCAGTAACTGGAGGGTTTGAGGGGGACATTGTGGGATCCTGGGCTGTGATTTGGGTTTTTTGGTTGTTGGTGCCTCTTCCAGGGGCGCTGGGGAAGCGAGGTCCCCATGAATCACTGCAGGCTCACAGTGCATCTGAATCACGGCGTGTGTCATGTTTTTGGTGACCCATTTTTCTTTCCCTGTCCTAGCCCAGCCACGTGTTTTTTCCCCTTGGCTGGCAGCAGAAGGACCAGAAAGGAGAAGGGCAGAAGGCTCAGACAAAACCCAGTGGTTTTAAGCTCGATTTTCACTGGCAGGATCCCACTTTTCCCTGGGGAAAGTTTTTTCTTCCTTTGCTTTAACTTGAACCTGCCAGGGGTCAATAAATCTTCAGTGCCAAGAGCTGGACAGCTGTTTAAGCTTCATCAGGGTATTGAGGCTGATACATAAAGTCACTGAGTGTGATGTTGGCAGGAGCCAGTGGGCTGGACCAAATCCTGGAGCTAAACCCACTCCCTCGGGTGAAGGATGCAGCCCCAGGCACTTCCCTCCAAATTCTAAATTCTAAAATCCTAGTCTCCCACCCTACAAGGGTGTGATGACCTACATTAAATCACCATGTAATGACTTAATTAAACAGTGTATGAACTGCTTAAACATTCAGGATGTAAGCATGAGGTAACGAATGTGTGAACAGAATCTTATTTAAGTTTCATATTACAACCTGTCCATTCTAGAATAAAACTCTAGCAGTTCAAAATTATTAATGTGCAAATTCTGCCATGCCAAGGTATTAGTAAACTTCAACCTCAGTTTGTTCAGACCAACAGCTTGGACGGGTCCCCTGCAGCAAAGTGGACATTCAGCTGCAGGTTGAGGCGCTGGTGTTTTCGTGGGATGCAAGGCTTTGGGAATGCCCCCTGGCATCAGCAGGAGCTGGTGCTGCAGCAGCACCAGAAGCCTCCTTCCATCCTGCCAAGGAGCTGAGTGCTCGTTTCCAAACTTCTCTTATTTTGAGCAACCCGTGGCTCTCCGTGAAGTCACTCGTTTGCCGCCCGACGCGCGCCGGGCGCTCCTCGGCCTCGCGCCGTCCCCTCCTCCCTGTTTTGGAACCTGCTCTGTGTTTTCTGGTCGCTACCAGCGTAAGCCAGAATGTGCCCATTCCACAAAGGAAACTCTGGCCTGTGCAGGGTGATTCTCTGCTGTGTTTACCTGTGTTTCCTTCGCCACGTCAGAGATCTTGACGGTGCAGTTTCGCTCTGACTCACTCTCTGCTTACTGCTGTGGAAAGGCATTGACTCTGCACTTACTACAGCACTTGCTTCATGAATGAATAAAGCACCTTTTCCTAAAGAGTGTCCGGGGGATGTGGGTGTACTTCTAAACCTTTAGGAAACAGCTTTCATGTTTGCCAAGAAGATTTCAGGAAGGAAAATGTGTTACTCAAAAGCCATTCGTGCACTTTTACCCACCTCCCACAAGCTTCTGAGAGTGGCAGGTTCACAGGAAACAGCAGGGCAGCAGAATGCTGTTTCTTCATTAAAACAGAGGCCTTTGGGCAAATACTTTCCCCCACAGTGTGGCACGAGGACAGATTTGTCCTGGGCATCATCCTGGGCACCCTGCACTGGGTGAGGCTGCACTGGTGGGGCTGGGGGTTGGAAATCCTCAGGGTCCCGTCCTCTGGAGCAGGGTGGCACCTCACCCTGCTTATTAAAGGGGTTTTTCTTATGTGGGCAAGTTTTTAGGTGGCAAATTTTTGCTTTTTTTTTTTTTTGCCTTCTTGATCTCTGTCATTGCTCTTGGGCAGAGGGACATTGTGTGTTGTGTAACACCATCCCTGGAGACGTCCCACCATCCCTGGAGGCCTTTAAGGAGTGACTGGACATGGCACTCAGTGCTCTGATCTGGTTGACAAGGTGGGGATCGATCACAGGTTGGGCTTGATGATCTCAGAGGTCTTTGCCAACCTCAGTGATTCTGTGATTTTCTGCACTATCTGCTCTAGACATAACCCAGAGGGCCCCCTAGATTTCCAGGCTGTCACAGTGGTGTGAATCTTTCTCTCCTTTTCAAAAACTCCCCCGTTTCTCATCCCTTCAGATCTGGAAGATCTGCTGCCAGTGCTGCCCTGGGGGAAGCAGAGGCTTGGGTGGCCTTTCATTCACCTCGTGCAAAGAACAGTTTTGAAGCGCTGGCATTTTCTCTCTCTCATCTCCACTGATGACTAACAGTTCCTGATGAAGCATCAACTGGACTGTCTGGTTTTTTTTCCTCAAGAGTTTCTTTTTTTTGTGCTGGCAGGGCATGACGTTGGATATTTCACATCTGGAGACCTGCTTTCTACCACCCTTGTCGGAATTTGCGACGTGACTCAACGTCGACCTCGGCAGGTAAATCCCAAATTACTCTTTGGAAATTTAACCCATGTCACTGGTTTATCTTGTAACATTCAAGTGTTATTAATCATGAATGGAAGATGTTATCGTGACTTTAATGTGACTTATAGTATGACACAGAGAGAGCCTTACATAAGAAGTTCTTAGAAAGTCCAGAACTTCAATTTGATCTAAATCAGGCTGGAGGTGTCACATGAAAAAATCAGGCGATGGAGACTTGCTCCCATCTGTAGATTCAGTGTTTTGGTGATTAACTTCACTGAGAAATGTTTGCACTTTTGTAATTGCACACATCAAACTCACAATATTTGGAATTCTGCTGCATCTTAAGGCAGAGATTGAGTACCATCCTTGTTTAATACCCCACCCTGGAATTCCAGGGTGCCCTCTGCCAACCTAGGAGAGTGAGCTGTGCTTTATTCCCAGTTTTACGTGTATTTTTCCATTTTAAGTCACTCTGTGAGGGGTGTGCAGAGCTGTGGGTGAGGTCAGTGCTGCTGCAAGACCCTCTTGTCTCTGGGCCTTCTGATGAGCCCACTGATGCAGCATCAGGCCCTCAGCCACATGGGGCTATTTCCCACTCTGCAAAGCAAACAGAGGTGTTATTATCCTTCATCTCTTTTATTTTCTTCTGAAATCAGCTGTTGACAGGAGTTTTCTGATGCTCACAGCCCTGTTTGTGTCCTTAGAGAAACCCACGGAGATCTCAGCACTGGAGTGAGGAGTGTGTGCTCTGAGCGAGCAGGGAGGATGGATGAGGTTGTCTCAAGTGAGTTTGTTTGCAGGTAAGTTAAGAGTGTGAAAGTATTCCAAAAACCCCCCCTGAATCTACAATCCATTAACCAAATATCACATGCACTGCCTTTATTTTTTTGGGCTTTCTACAGAAACAACTTTGAGCAACTCCTCCCTTGGGCAGCTCATTGCACAAGTGCTGCTTTGAGGAGTTTCTTTTCTCTAGTTTTGGTATTACTGGGGGGCGTGGGGGGAGGTGGATCATCTGGAGAACATTGACTTTGTCATGATTTAGCACCAACACCCTGACCAAAAACACAAATACAAAGTACTTCTAGTGATGAAGGGTCACAAGACAGAAACTGGTTATCACGGTTTGGGAAATCAGATAAGGCAAAGCACAACATG